CATTTTGCAAATAATATGATAAAAACTAGCTTTAAGGGCCTTTTGTTTAGGAGTTTTAGGTTTAATTGCTTTACTAAGATAAAAGTCATATAAGTAGGATTTGAGAAAATTAAAGATTTTTCTAAAGAATTCTGTTTAAAGTTGTAATTTATCTTTTATATCATCAGAAATTGGAAAATTAGCAAGCCAGTTAAATATTAGTTTGGCTTTAATTTTTGGTTAGTTATTAGTAATATTGGTTTCTGTTTATTGTTGTTGTTGCTTGTTTATTTCTTATTGTTGTTTACTTGTTTTTTGCTGTTGTTGTTATTGTTTCTTGGAATAAAGTGGATTTTGGATAATAGTTGTTGTTGTTGTTAATGTTGTAGTTAGTTATTGTTTTTTTTTTTTTATAATTAAAGTCTCTGCCTATGAGATTGATGTTTTTATTTATGTATTTAGACATAGATGCCTTTAGGGGCTTTCTTACATTGAAGGTTACAACTAGCTATATATGCATTTTTAGTATTTAATTTAAGTAGTCTGCCTATATATTACTATACAGGTTCTATATTAGGTAGCATACCTGCAAGCCAACTATGGATCTTGCATATTTAAACTCTCTGTATATGTAGTCCATTATGTCTTATGATGACTTCTTCAAGACTACACTTATCCAAAGTACCTTATGCTTTTGAGGCCTCTTAAGACTAGTTTATTCTTAACAAAAAACTTACTAGAATCTTTTATATCTTACATACAGCTGATCTAGTTTTATGTAACTCACTATAGTTGACTAATATTTGCAATCATAGGGGTTAACTATTTAACTGCTATGCTATACTATTTTTACTTTTATAAAGTTCACTAGAACTCCAGTACCTATTATTATGACATCTTCTTTATTATTCTCTACTAACTGCTACTCAGAACCAACAAGACTTCTCTGACTTTCAATTCAAATAGCCCAGTATGGTATACTTATGTATTTTTTTTTCTTTAGTGATTTTGGCAACCTGGTTGGTCATATGCTCCTCTACACATCTTATCATTTGGTTTATCTGCCTATTCCTTTGGGAGTGTTTTATGAACTTCTATTAGTTTAACTATACTGTCAAAAGTTTATACTACCTCTTTAGTTAGGAATTTCCAAGTAGGCTTCCAACTTTTCAGTTTCTTAGTTTACTGTGCCTAGTGGTCTTATCATGAGTTTGCACTGAAGCCTTATATAATACCAGTTATATATTTCTTTATATACATGTAATGTTACATTTCACATAGATGTTCTAAGATAGTGTAACTTAAGGTTACAGATACACTAATCCAACTGATTATCAAGAGACAGTTTGCCATAATACAGGTATAATTTTTTAAATTTTATTATAGAAAAATTTGAACACTAGACCTGTTACTTAAAAGATGACAACCTAACTACTATGATCACTATCTCCTATTAGTTATTGTTGTTGTTATTATTAATGATATTATTATCTAAATACATATTATTTGTAGTACTATTGTTGTTGCTAGATGAGGTTGTAAATGTGAGTTCAGATGCTAGTAGGTTGTAAAAACTAATTGTTTGTTGGAGTTTTTAAATAAATATAAAGAAGAAGCTTGATTGTTGAATAAGTTGTTGAATATTTTATATATTTTGTGATGAGGTTTGTTATTGTATAAAATTGCATCTGCTGCCAAATAATATTGGTTGTTTATTTCTTTTCAGGCAATAGACAAGTTGCATTTAACATATTAGTGATTGTGTATGATAGATGAGAGTGATGCTATTAGTGATAAAGAAATAAATTTAGTAGAATTTATGATATTGTTTGTTAAAGATTTTTTATCTTTGGATTTTTTATTAGTAGAAATGACTTTATTTTGTTTGTAGATTTGGTTGGTAGTTGAGATGAAGTGGATATGAAACTTGTTACAAAAGCATGTAATAATAAAACTAGATTCAGGTACTTTAAAGTAATAACAACTTTTAGTTCCTTCTCTAAGTTCTGTAATTGAACAATTGTTTAGTTGCTTGTTTGCCAAAATGGAATGTGAAGTATTAGTTGCATCTTCAAGAATACCAATACCAAAGCTTTTAAAACACTTTTGGTAAAAATAGTTAAGGTTAATGGTATCAGATACAACTGTTGTTAAGGTCAGTATTTTGTTCTAAAAATAGAGTTTTAAGTATATTTTACAGAAAAATTTGTTTGATTTTAGGAGTTTTTAGACTAATTAAGAAAGTTTGAAAAAGTATGTAAGCTTCAGGTAAGCTTATTAAATGTTTAGGAAATTCTAATAGGTACCAGAAAAGTAAAATTTTCAGGACACTTTAGCAAATTTTCCTAAAATTGATAATAAAAATACTTGCAAAGACCAAGTTTTTGTTTTTGTTTTTCACTTGTATTTTTATAAGTTTTGGTCTGTTTTAAATAAAAGATATATTAGCATATCTGGCTCAGTAAGCTAAACAACTTTTAAATAAATAAGAAAGTAGGTTTAATTAGTAAAATTATATATAAATAAACAAAAATCAAAAACTTAGTTTTTGGAACTTTTCTCAGCAGCCAGGTGTTTTTGAGATTTAAAACACAGTCACCTAAAATGAAAAAGATATACTAAACAAGTTTACTTAAGAGGTCAAGTAAGATTTGCTTAATAAAAAGTAAGAAATAATTAAATGTTTTTTTGTAGTTTTGGTATAAATAATCTACAGAAAGAGTTGTTTTTTTAGCATATACTTCTTAATATTATTAAATCCTTTAATTTAAATATCAACTTTCACAAAGTTTAAGCTTATACTAATAATATCTTCAATAACATAATTGACTTTTTAACAAAATAAAATACCTTTTTTCTGCTTTTAAACTTTTAATATACAAACATTTACAACTCTTTTTATATTCTATAATGAGAATAAAATTCTGTTAAGCTTCTTACTCAATTCTTTATTAAAAATATTTGCAAAACTCATATATTGACAATGTGGTTTTCACAAAAAAGAAACAAAAAATGGTCTTATATTAATTACTACATAGACTAGCAATTGACATGACTATATCTAAATTATAATCAAAAACCTATATCTAATTTTATTAGCTTCAAATTTAAGTAATCTAAAGTTTTTAAAATCAAAGCTTTACTAAATAATTGCCAATATACTTTTCTTTTTACAATATAAATCTAACTATTTTTATAAATACTAACTGTTTTCAATATAATCTTCCTAATTCACATTTATATTAACTAACTTGTCTTGATTTTTCTCTTATTACAAATATTATTAATTTATCAATTCAGCATATTTTATCTAAAATAGATCTTGACTTATCTACTAGTCAGCTTCATGAACTTATTTGAAAAATTCAAATGCATTTTTCATTTGATCAAATACCATTTCAAGCAAACTCCTTTTATCTTGATCTTATTCTTAATTAAAACAATTCATAACTACAATATACCAACTAAAATAGCCTTACAAATTATTATTCAAATATTTCTTGATATTAATAATCAAATTTACAACCAAATATGAAAACCATACTGCATCAACCTCTCTAATTGAAAAAAGAATAACAATATTATATCTCTTTAAACTTATAATATTTACAATACTTTATAACAGATACAACAAATTAGACATCACAAAAGATTATATACAAACTATTTATACTCATGTCTATATAGAATAGCAAATCAATTACACTTATATTCTAATAATTGTCTATCAATTAGACAGACTATTAGAAAAATCAATATATAATTGATACTCAAATTAATCATAATACATTTTATAATCATATTCTATCATTACAAATCTAAGTAGGCCTTGACCATTATAATCGGTTTAAATTACAGATAAAATCATCTGAGCTTTAATTCTTGTATGAATTTTTATTTTGTATTTTATAATTTTAGTATATCTTTAATATATAATATATTAATATGTACAACTAAAATTACTAATAAAGATATGAACAAGGTCTCACCTTACTATCAAAAAAAAACCTAAATAAGGTAAAAGAAAAATGACAATAAAGACATAGATATAACACTAGGAGACAGGACTAATAGATACTATTGGACAGGTCTTATTAGAGAATGGGAGATTCAATCCTAAATATGATTAGCTAATTATTACAAGAAATCATGAAATATCTATAAAACTTAGCCAATCAGATGAATGTTTTCCTATGCATATATAATCGTTTCAAACAATTGAGCATAGAAGAAACTCATATCTGATAGATTCCAAAATCATGATTACACAAGTTATTTTATATGGGCAATTGAAAAATTGATATACAATAGTTGTCTAAAAACTGGAATTTTTACAATCTGTTTAATCACAAGTTTCATACTAAATATACTTTGATCAATTAATAAAATTTATTTACTAACAGAAAATCTTTTTCAATCGTTTTCAATCACTTTCCTCAAAAATTTTCATAAGAATAAAGGTAGAACGTTTGGTATTGATAGAGTTTATTGAGTTTCTACTATGTTTAAATTATTAAGCAAATGTGTATTAGATTCACAAATTGCTAAACCATGAGTGTTATTAATATAAAATTTTATTTATTTATTAAACAGGCCAAGTAATATCAAACTTTTAGCAAGTTCTATTATACCCGAATCATGATATATATATGTATTATTTATTAAATAGAAAAGAAAACTAAGATCTCTAATATAGTATATACGATGGTGTGGTCTAATCGCAGTAGTTTAAACCAAGAGTAGTACCATGTCAGATATAACAACATGTTATTAATGAAATATAGTGGTTAAAAAATAGAATAGAATGACTTTAGTATTGAAAAAGTTTCGTTTTCATTAATAATAAATTTATTTTGTTTTTATTTCGCGTATCGAAAGATTTTTTAATTAATTTGATTGGTCAATAATCATGCTTGGATCTACATAAATTAACCAATCATAACCATTGATTTTCCATGAAAATACGAGTTTCTTCTATGCTAAACAATTGTTTACTGTTATCATAGTTACAACTGTACATAATGGATGGGGAAACTTACTTTGACTTTGCAAAAAGAAAAAAATTACTGTTCAATCTATATCATTTCTACCTGTTCAACGCGTTAACAAACCGAATTGATCTAAAGAAAAATGTTGACCAAATTGTGAAAGAATTGAACACACAGTTTTTTACAAAACAAAGAAAATCGTCGAAAAAAGTTTCTTACTCAGTAAGTAATAATCGTTTCAATTTAACATTTACATATATTCAAAGACATGTATAAGTATTATATTTTTAATTTATTTAACGAAATTGATGCTTAGTCTACACTAAATCTCGTATATAAGAATTTGATCTTTTACAATATGTGTTATATTTTTTTTTAATGTACCTAATGTACAGGTTTGATTTAAAATGTTCAAGAGATGCTTATTACTATTATTATTTTACAGCCTAAACACCAGGCCCTAATAGATTTCATAGAAGCCGCCCAAAAACGTCATTTATACGTTCCATACGGTGTATACCTTGAAACCTGTGCCAAAGAACTAGGCTGGTTCGAAGTTTTGAGCCGTTCGTTATATGAACCTTTAGACTTAATCGAATCAAAAACGAGAATATTAAACGTAATTAAATTGGTTTAAAAAAAAAAAAATTCCGAAAATTTATAATTATCATTAATATATCGTTTATTTGATTATAATTAGTTAAGTTCGATGAAAGAAGTAAATGAAACCGTGAAGACGATCAGCAAAGCATT